GACTGTGATCTGGGCCACTGCTGGTAGTGTTAGTTTTGCCCTATACAGTCCTTAAGTTGCTTTCTTCCTTTAACCTCAGTATCTCTTGTTCTCTGTAGCTCTTGATTCTGTCTTCATGGATTTTTCCCCTTCATTTTTCTTGCCTTGTCTGATCTCCTTCTGACCAAATCCAATTCCAGATTTGAGCAGTGTTTATTGGCTGTATCTCCTAGGTGGAAAGCACAGTTTTTGATGTCTAATGAGTGAGAAGCATTGTTTGGTGCACAATGTGTGAATGTTTTTGCTAGTAAGTTTGGGCGGTCCACCTTGGACCATATATTTGGAAGAAAGAAAGAGAAAACAGGTGAATGTGAGAGGATTGTGGGCACTGGTGTTGGTGGAATTTGAGGGACTAGGTCCAGGGATCAGTCCTCCAACAACCTGAGATGATAAAAAGCCTCTCCTTTCTCCTCCTAGCTGGCCAAACACTCCCTCCGTCCTTTTTGCACTGCCTGCAGCCGCCATTTTAAGACCCCGCGAAAGTTTGTGGAACATATGAAATCCCCTGAACACAAGCAAAAAGCCAAGGAGGTAAGAAAAGGAGAGAGAGCCTCTTTTCTTCCTAGATGCTGGGGCAAGGAGAATTTAATTGAGGTCCCTTTCCTGGGAAAAGACACTCACTGATGTCCTTTTGCTGAGCTGGGAGTAGCAGCGCTGGGTCCTCAAGAGCTCAAAGGTTTCCTGTCCTTTCTGGCAGGCACGGCTTGGGGAGAAGGAGCCAGGCAGCCCTGAAGAGGCGGAGGAACTCATCACAGTGGATGCAGTAGGTTGTTTTGAGGAGGATGAGGACGAAGAGGATGAGGAGGAAGATGCAGAAGAGGATGAGGGCAGCGAGGCAGTGGGAGAGGGCGAGGAGGCCAAGCAGGTACCACAGAAATTGTGCCCCCAAAGGGCACTACTTGTGTGATCTTGGGCAAGCAGGTCACTTAAAGGCCCTGGCCCTCCCTTTCCTTATCTGTGAAATGGGGGTGGGGGATGAGAAGAAAGGGATAGTGGACCTCAGCCAGATGACCTTGGTGTCTTTCTCAGTTCTAGATCTAGGGTCCTGTGATTTGAAGGCAGGGAGATGAGGGCGTATAAGAAAAAGGGACAGATGCAGGAAGTGGAAGCACCCAGTAAGGGGCTTGCTGTGCAGTTTCAAGGAGCAAGTGGGATGGAGAAGAGCAGGTTGGCTTTTCTCCTCTGGGCAACCCTCTGAACCTTTCTCCTACCCACATAATTCCAAGGCATACGTTGTAACTTGTGTGTACAGACAGCCCAAAGAAAGACACGTGTCCTGTCACCCAGACTGACTCATCTTTCTCCCTTTCCATCTCCTCCTCTCCCCACAACACACACAGATCATGGGAACAAAGGAAGGGCTGCTGAGCTTGATTCAGTCGAAGGCCTGGAGTGCTGATTAAGAAAAACCTAGAGCCTAATGGGGTCTAATTTGAGCACTGGTGAATGGGATCCAGCCAGGCAGGGTCTATCCCCCTTACAGCTCAAGTGTTCTTGCCAGGTGGGGCCCAAGGAAGTGTCTGCAGATGACTGGAAAGGCCTGGAAGAATACTGTCCTGACAAGACGTATGGTAAGTCGTTCTCCCCAATTATAGCAGTGAACTTCTACACCTCTGGCCTACCCTCTGGGCTTTGTTCTGGAAAGTAAAGAGTGTATCATATGATCTGTGGGGAAAGCATTGACCTTCAAGCAACATGCTGGCCCTTCTCACCCAGATCCAAAGATTTTCCACGTTCCCCACAGGTGGCTGAAACCCTAAATCCTCTAGGTTTCCTCTGCTCTGTTACAGGAAGACTGACAGTGCCATGCCTAGCTTTCTTTGATCCTTTCCCTGTAAACTGTCAGACACTGTATACAGCCCCAAGGAGACCCCACCCTGCCACCTGCGGCAGGATTCTCAGAGGCAGAGACTTGGACCTTTCTGGAGGAGGGGGAGGAGCAGGGGGAGGAAATACTGATCTTGTTGAGTAGAGTCAGTGATGCTTCCCATTCCCCCTCTTTTGCAGGCCTGGATTTTCTGGTACCTGTGGTGGGCTATCTTTGCCGGCTGTGCCACAAATTCTACCATAGCAGCTCAGGAGCCCGGCTTGCCCACTGCAAGTCCCTGATGCATTTTGAGAACGTTCAGGTTAGACCCTCTACTAGCTGCCCAGCCTATCCTTATCCCCCCTCCTCACCCTGCATCTCTCCCTGGGCTTGAATCTCTTCTTCTCCCTTTCTTCTCACCCCCATCTATCAGGCCTAGTGATTAGGGATGGCCTCATGTGATCTCATAGAAGGATCTTATTCCAGGCCAGTGCCTTTCATCAACTCCTGGTGCCCATTCTATCCTCATTCCCTCAAATTCAGCAACAGTGCTAGACATTGCCCCTGGCCTTGGGGTAGCGAGCTGAAGGATGGGCCATGCCTAGAGCTGATCAAGCTTCTGCCTTACACAGCTGTGGCTTCAGAGGCATCAGAGATGAAGAAATGAGGATATGACAGGGACTAAGCCCAGCCCCTTTAAATTTAAGCAAGAACAAGGGGGCAAAAAACTGAGGGATTGGAACCCTATGATTCTGGGGACATTGGAAGGAGAGAGATTCCTGTCCCAATTTCTTTGCTGCCAATGTTCCTCATTCTCTAGGTCGGGGTGGAGGGGTGGGCAGTGGAAAGTTGGGCCGAGGGCCTGTAGCCAACAGCTTCGTGGCCTTGGGACAGTTTGGATCTAGTTTTTTTTCCACTTGTCAGACCCAGCAAAAGAGTGTTCCAGACAAGCAGGTTACTCCCATTTTCTCTGATCCACCTGGTCTTTGTTGTTATATATGGGAAGGCTTCCACCTGCAGGGGCTTCAGTCCCAAGCCGGGGTGGCAGCTGCCTAAAACTAGATATGGCCACAGGGAGCTTTGGTACCCCAGCTCTTGTCTCCCTGACACTGTCTGTGCCTCTGTTTCCTCATTGGGATGATGAGGGAAGGCTTCGGATGAAAATAGCTAGTATTTCTATGGTGCTGTGAGGTTTGCAAAGTGCTTTCATGTTATCTCATTTGATCCTCACAACAACTCTTTGAGGTAGGCGCCACTGTTGCCATTTTACAGATAAGGAAACCGAAGCTCAGAGAGGTTAACTGACTTGCCCAGGGTGACACAGCTCATTAAGTGCTGGGGGCAGGATTCACATTCAGATCTTTCTGACTTCCAAGCCCAACACTAGCTCCACACTCTGAGCTCTAGATGTATGAACCTATGATCCTTTCGTTCCCTAGACTACTGTGCCCCAAGAACTTAGCCTATGGATGTCTAGGAGGTAGGAATGGGACACCTGAGGCTCCCCGAGGTTCAGTGAGTAAGCAAAGTCACATGCTACGTCTGAGGTCAAGTCAGGCCCAGAAGACAGGTTTCCAGCTCTTTCCACTGCTGTCTCTACCTTCTCTCTGCCCCTGAGGTCCAAAGGTAGAAACTCAAAGCTTCCAGATGTCACACATAAGGAAAGAATGTCTTAGGCTGGTGATAATGCCCATTTCCCTCTTCCTAGAGATACAGAGCAGCCAGGAACCCTGGACCAGTCTCAGAGTCCAAGTTAAAACATGAGCCCCTCGACACCCTGACAGGGGAAGGGACAGGAGCCTCAGGTTCAGAGCAGCAAGAGGAGCCAGCCCAGCCCCCAGGAGCTGAGTGTAAGTCAGGGGGCCCGGACACCCACGCTGATGCTGACAACACAGACGGGGCCCAGACCCCCACTGAAGCCGGAGGTGGGGAGAAGCCTGGCTCTGGGAAGCAGAAGGAGGGAGAAGAAGTGGTCACCGCAGCCAAAGGTAGAGTGCCAGCCCCCGAGCCCTGCCGCCGTTCTACTCGTCATAAGCCAAGATAGGAGGGTCCTAGGGGAGCCAGCTGGGCAGCAGACGGGTAATTGGGGGGGGCATTTTACTAGATCAGTGGAAGAAAAGCTGCTGCTGTTTTTATTCAGATACCAATAAAGAATTGTGGTTTAGTGTTTCACTGTGGTGTGAATTGTTCTTTAGGACAAAGATTAAGTGGCAATTTCCTTGTCCAAACTTGCCCACCCCCCAGAAGGAAGTGTACCCAGTAGTATTAATAAGCTGGGGGGACAGTTCACTGGATGGGGAGCCAGGGACTAACTTCTATCACAGTATCTGAGTTATAAGGAACCACAGAGGCCGGCCAGACATGAGCAGGAATCCCTACTCCAACACTCCCCCTGACCAGTGGCCATCTAGCCTGTGACTGACAATGGGGATTGGGCATAACTACACATTTGGATAGCTCTCCTCCTCAAGAAGTCTTTTCTCCAATGGAGTCAGTATTTGCCCCTCCATAATTATCTGTTACTTCTGGTTCTTACCTCTGGGAGCTAAGGAAAATATAATTCTCTAAAATCTGAATGGTTGAAGACAGACCTCGTGATTCCCATAAGTCTTCTCTTACTCAAACTAAACATCCCACAGTAATTCTTTCAGCTGATCCAAGTCATATGGAGCTCAGTTTACCCATCTGTAAAATGATGGCATTCAGGGGCAGCTAGGTGGCGCAGTGGATAGAGCACCGGACCTGAGTTCAAATCAGGCCTCAAACCAAACACTTGACACTTACTAGCTGTGTGACCCTGGGCAAGTCACTTAACCCCAATTACCTAAAAACAAAAACAAAACAAAACAAAGATAAGATAAGATGATGGAGATGAACATCATGATCTTTAAGGTGAATTCCAGCTCAAAGGGCCTCATGTGACCCAGGGATCCAGGGGTCAGAATCAGAACTAGAGCCTTTTAAGGAATAAATATGGCTATAAGGTCTGGGGTACAACAGGCAAAGTATACAAGAGACACAGTGAAAGACATCTTTTTAATGACAACTCATCCCTGTCCCTCTCCCAAACTCTGACCCTGGGTCTGAAGAGCCTAACTTTAATGGGGTTAGAGTAACTAGATTCAATCAACCAATCTCCTACCCTCTTCCAGTCTTAGGTGGTCCTCTGGGATTAAATGCAGTAGTTGGGCCCCGGGGACCAGGAAATACAAATGAGGGAGACAGAGGACCCCAGCTTAAAAGGGTCTCTGCCTATCCTGATGGCGTTCACAGTCTGTGGGCTAGGGAAGCATCCTCGCCCCTTTATGAAGAGACTTGAGAGCCACTGACTCACCCAGCAAACGCCTTCTCCAGGGCAGGAGCTTCTGAGGCTGCTGTGGAAAGGGGAGTATAAGGGGATAGCCTCCCCCAGGGCCTACTGGTGGGGCTTAGCTGCAGGTGGACCCTCACTGAGCTGCTGCTGCTGCTGGAACTCCACTCTTGTTTGCCGGTTGGATTCCAGCAACTCCTTGAGCCGGGCGTGAAGATGGTCATTCTTCTCCTCCAGGTGATCCAAGCAAGTATTGATCTGGTCCAGCATAGAGTTGATGGCTGCATATTCTAAGAGAAGGGACCAAACATTTCTGTGGGTAGAGGGTGAGGAAACACTACAGTCCACTTGCCAACACCCTGCCCTAAAACATCCTCTGAAGTTAACCTAAGACTTTCCCCTAGTTTCCCATCATCCCTTGCCTGCCCTGTAATACCAGGGACCCTCCATCTTCAGTGTAGGTGCTCAGGAGACTTGGGTTTGAGTGCTAGGTATGCCACTAATGGCTCTGTGACCCTGGGCAAGGCTCTTGCCTTCTCTAAGCCTGTTTCCTTCTCTGTAAAATGAGGCCTACTGCTGCATTGTGTTAATTTGTCGTTCAAAGTATGACACTACTAAGAGTGTTGAAGATGGAGAATAGCTGACTTCAGAGCAATAGGTACTTGGTGCTTGTGGGGGAATCTAAGAAACGAGGTCTCTTCTCAGCATCGCTCAAACTGTTCCACTTAGACGGCTCCCTATTCCAAGGTCCTGAACTAAAGCAAAGATGTCCTGTAAAGAATGCCCAGCCTCACTGGAAGGTGCAGACAAGTGCTTAAGGGGTCAGGGAATGGAGATCTCTGCAGATTGGAGTGGCTGGGTCAGCTTAGTAAACTAGTCCAACTTGGTAGAATCGCATCTGAAAAAGGTGCTGGGATGGGGGTCTCTACTTCCTTCTCTCAGCTGAAGTTGGCCGTTCCTGCCTCACAGTTTTTAGCACTTGACCACTCCTTTGTCCTTGATGAGAACATAGTATTTACTGGGTTGAAGTGACAGCTCACCTTAGGCCAGTCATATAACCTCTGGGATTGTTTCCTCATCTGTCAAAATTAGGGATTACATTAGATAATCCCTAAGCCCTCTTCCAGCTTTAAATTCTTGGCCCATTTTACCTACTGTTATTGGAATAGGTTTTATTTCTCTTAGATTGTAAACTCTGAGCGTAGAGATTGGGATATTTGTCTTTAGCCCCAATACCCAGTGCCTAGTGGCTTAATAAACACTTCTAAAATAAAAAAAAAATGAGGCCTATCCACCCTGCTTTAAAGAATTATTAATTCAAACATATTAATTTACTGGTGAACATCAAATAAAATTAATATGATGATTCTTTGAAAAGATATAAAACACTATTAATGTGGTATAGTAGAAAGAACAATGGAATTGGAGTCAAAGGAGCTGGGTTTGAATCCTGCCTCTGCTACTGTATCCTACCTATGTGACCTTGGAAAAATCATTGAACCTCAGCCAGTGCCTCTTCTCTTTTAAAATAAGGACACTGGATTAGCTTGTTTCTCAAGTCTTTGTAGTGCTAACTCTATGATCCTTGTGAACCCCAGTGATGACTAGGAGAGACCTCACTGTCTCCTGAGGAAGCGCATTCTACTGTTAGCTTTGATAGTACTCTCATTTCTTCCTATATAGTAATAAATAGCTAACATTTATATTGTGCTTAGTATATGCCAGGCACTGTGCTAAAGCACTTTACAATTATTATCTCATTTGGTCTATTGGTTGGTGCTATTATTATCCCCATTTTACAAATGAGGAAAGTAGGGCAAACAAGTTAAGTGACTTGCCCAGGGTCACACGGCACTAGGTGTTTGAGGTCAGATTTAAACATAGGTCTTCTAGACTACAGGCTCAGTGTTCTACCCACTGTGCCACCTAGCTGCTATTCCCTAAAGGCCCAGGACTGTCCCCAAAGCCCATGATGCTTTCCTTGTTGGATGACTTTCCAGCAAGTGATTGAGTTCTATTGTTTTATCATGTATCTCCCTCTCCACCACCTCCCAAATCTGGGCACCCAAGCCTATACCTAGACCTTTTTCTTTACACAAGGTTGTAATTCTAAGTCAGCCCCAACCTGGCTCCCAGGTCTTTAGTGTCTCTCAAACAAGTCCCCACTGCTCAGGCGCCAACGTCTGCTCTTATCCTATTGACTGGGTAATGGGCCAAACAAGTTGTGCATAAAGATGTGATGGTGTTTCTGTGCTGGAAGAAATAATGACTGTAGAGAGTACAGAGGAAGCCCAGAAGACGTGGGACTGATGCACAGTGAAGGAAGCAGAACCAGGAAAACAACATGCAAAATGACTAACACAGTGTAAATGGAAAGCACAATGGCTACAAATTTACAAAATGAATACTATGTAATTATGCTGATCAAGCCTGGACAGGAAGAAGGAAGCAAATGCACCTTTGTGGAGCTGAAATACTGTTTATACTATGAGATTCAGCTGATGTGCTGGTTAGTTTTATTGAACTACTTTCCCCCCCTCTTTTATACTTTGTTACACAGGATGGCTCTGGGGAGATTGGGAGAAGGGATGTTTTTGGAAATGAAGATAATGCAATAACAACAAAATAGGTCAATAAAAATGACAAAAAATCTGGACAGTACTTCCCCAGTACCCAAGCACTATCACATGCATCTTCTCATTTGAACCTCAAGCATCCCTGTGAGGTGGTAGAATTATCCCCATTTTATGCAAATCAAAACAACTCTGAGGTACCACATCACACCTATCAGATTAGCCAACATGACAAAACAGGAAAATGATAAATGTTGGAGAAGATGTGGAAAAATTGGAACACTAATACATTGTTGGTGGAGTTGTGAAATGATTCAACCATTTTGGAGAACAACTTGGAACTATGCCCAAAGGGCTACAAAAATGTGCATACCCTTTGACCCAGCAATAGCACTTCTAGAGATCATACAAATGGGAAAAGGACCCACATGTACAAAAATATTCATAACAGCTCTTTTTGTGGTGGCAAAGAATTGGAAATTGAGAGGATGCCTATCAATTGGGGAATGGCTGAGCAAGTTGTGGTATATGAATGTAATGGAATACTATTGTGCTATAAGAAATGATGAACAGGCTGACTTCAGAAAAACCTGGAAAGACTTGTATGGTCTGATGCTGAGTGAAGTGAGCAGAACCAAGAGAACATTGTACATAATAACAGCCACATTGTGTGATGACTAATATTGATAAACTTAACCCTTCCCAGCAATGCAAGGATCTAAGACATCTCCAGAGGCCGAGTGATGGAAAACGCTATCCACATCCAAAGAAAAGAACTATGGAAGTTGAATTGCTATTTTTTTTCTCTTCTGTTGAGTTTTGTTTCCTCTTTCTGATGGTTTCTTCTATTGGTTTTAATTCTTACTTACAACACCACTAATGTGAAAATATGTTTAATAGGAATATAAGTGTATAGACTATATCAGATTGTGTTCCGTCTTAGGGAGGGTGGTGGGGAGGAAGGGGGAGAAAAATTTTAAACTCAAAAGCATATGAAAGTGATTATTGATAAATCAAAAAATCAAAATAAATAAAATTTAAAAAAAGGAATTATCCCCATTTTACAGATGAAAGTACGTAGGCTCAAAGCGATGAACTGAAGGCAATGTGCTGTAGCTGGAAAGAAGACTGGATTTGGAGTCAGAGGAACTGCATTTGACTCCTAGCTTTGCTACTTACCTAGTTAGACCTTTGGAAAGTCATTCTCCTTGGTAACCCTTTCCTGCCTCAGTTTCCTTCTCTGTAAAACAAGGGGGTTGGAGCAGATCATTTCTAAGGTCCCTTCCAGCTCCAAATTCCATGGTCCCATGGCAAGACCTACTAGCTCACGTGAACAGTAACTGGCCAGTTTTCTGACTCCAAAACCTCATACTGTTCTTTCTATCCCATCTCAAAATACAAAAGTCCTAATGATTTACTTCTCTTCCAACAGTATTTTTGCCACGAATAAACTCAAAGAATTTCAGAGCTGGGGGAGAGGGCTTACAGATGAGGAACACAGGCCCAGTGGAGATTAAGTAACACTGCCCAAGTCTGAGCTAGGACTTTGACCTAATTATGACCTAACAGACCTGACTTTGCAGGACACCACACTGCCTCTTTATGGAGAAAGTCAGCTTCATTTAGAGTTGCTGAGTGAAGGACTAGCATCTAAACTCCTGCCCCTTTTAGGAAGCACTAGCATCATGGGAAGGAGAGCCTATTCCATGGTCAAACAATGATACCAATGACCTCAAGTTCATGAGCTTTGATGCTCCACCCTACTGGAAAAGATCACTTGTACTCCCTCCAAAGCCACAAATACAAACCTACAGGTCTCAGAGAGTCAAGAAAAACTCAACCATTACTACTTCCCTCACTTAGAGCTGTTTAAATAAGGCCCTCTCCCTGGCTCCAGCCAAGACTATTCCTGACAACCAGTGGGTCTCCCTATTCTTTTTTGTGTGTTTTATTGATGCTCTTCCCCCCCCACCTTCCCCCCCCAAATCACTCACTTCCCAATGACTCCTCATCCCTCCAACCTTTTTTTGTAACAGGTAAGTACAGTCCAATCAACACAGCAGCCACGATGGAAAATAGATGCCTTACTCTGCGGCTATAGTTCAGAGCTCTATGGAGGGGCAGGAGGCTTACTTCAGCATCAGTCCTCTGAACTCACAGCTGGTCATTGCATTGATCAGAGTTCATCAGTCTTTCAATGACTTGTCCTACTCTTCTAATTCTCTAAGGAAGTGTTGGTTTATGATGATCTTGGCAGCTTAGGTGAAATTCTGAAATCAGAATACAAACTTTTGGAAAGAAGAGTCGCTTAGGCTATGATTTTCTCCATGGGTTTGGGCATTTAAACATATTGCTATCTTGCAGCAACTCTCTGCTCCAATGGAGACAGTAAGGGATGGCATCCCACTACTGCTTTTAAATCATTCCACACCTCAATAGAGCTGTCAAATCTAATTAATCCTACCTTCAAAACAAGTCTTCCCTTTTTGTCTCCCACTGTAGCCGCCCACTTCAGACCCTGATCTCTTCACACCTGGCCTATTTTTTAATGGTCCCTCTCAATCTCCATCTTCCACTCTGTTACCAGAGTAAATTTCCTAATGCACCTCCAGGATCATGTTATTCTTTTCTACTCAAAACTCATTAACTCCCTGATGCCTATCAAATAAGAGATTATCTAACTTCTGATCCTGGTGTTTAAAGCCTGCCACAATCTGGCTTCCAGCCTGACTTTCCATTTTATGTTCCAGCCTGACTAGACTATTACTATGCAGCCCTGGTTTTTGTCTAGCTGTCTGTCTCTCTCACATTGTCACCTACGCCCAAAATAATAGATCTAGCATTTATACAGCGATATAAGGTTTGCAAAGCCCTTTACAAATATTCTCTCATTTTATCCCCATAGCAACCCTGGGAAGTAGATGCTATTGTTATCTCCATTTCACAGATGGGGAAACTGAGGCAGAAAGCGGTCAAGTGATGAGCAGGATTACAACAGCTCGTTTAACATTTGAGGCTGAATCTAAGCACAGGACTTCTTGACTCCAGGTCAAAGCTCTGGCTGCCTCTATTTGTAGAATCTTCCTCCCACTTTCTTCAAGTCGAAATTCAGGTGCCTACTCTTCAATAAGTCCTTCCCTGCTCTTCCCTCCTTCAAATACCTTAAAACAGTTATCTATCCTTTGAATCATAATTATTTGTGTACACATCTTATCCTCCCAATTCCAGTTAGATGGTAAGTCTCCCTGAAGGCTGGGTCTATGTAATAACTATCTTCAAATCTCCAGTGCTTAGCACGTGGTAGGAGCTAAAATTGTCCTTATATGAACAATGAAGGGGCATCGCGGCCTTTCCCCTTTCCCTGAGGCTAAGCAACACCGACTTTTTCCAGGAAACATTTCTGGCCAACCCCAGAAAAATGAGAAAAGCTGATCCCAACCTTTCCAATCCCGTGGCCGCTTAAGATCTTGGCTACTTTTTGTTTCGTGTGTGCTGTCTCCCTCCAATAGAAACTCAGAACCTTCTCCACTACAGAACCTGAACGCTAAGCGATTACTAAATGTCTATGACTGATAATCACACATAATACCGCAGGACCCAGGCGGCGGTGGAAGGTCTGCAAGCCTTGGTTTCTGGTAAAGCTGACTCAGCAGAATAACTCCCAGCCTTCCTCAAACCCCCAGCAGATCCAAGCTCACCTCGTCCCCTTCAGACCCCTTGATGTCCATTCTTTATGCCCTGGCTGGGGACCAATCAAACGGGAAGTGTCAGAGCCCCACTCCGGGATTCCCCAATCTTTCCACCTCAGAGTTAGCAGCACCTCCTACTTAGACGGGGAACCCCGGGCACTTGAGAGTGGAGGTGGGCTGGACTGTTAAACAGGCAGAGGGAGCAGAGGAGCCCACGTTCCTGATCCCCCGTGGAGGAAGAGGGATGACAGGACAGGAAAGGAGGAGCTTAGAAGGGCATTGCCGTACTCCCTCTCCTAGTTAAGTATCCTTCCGACGGAGGACCGCAGAATCGCGCCCCACCAAGGTAGAGCTCATCTTCCTCACCCAGTTAGTTACCTGCTTCCCCAAAGCAGTCGTCCTCTTCGACGCTGGTCTCCACTGGCCTGGGCAGGTCCCCGTTGGGGCCGGACATCCTGAGGTCCGCGGCTGTGATTGATTGTGGAGCCCGGAAAGCTCGTACAATCAGTAGAACCGTGCGGGCTACCAATGGAACGTGACGCAAACCCTGGGCCCCGCCCCCTCCGACAAGGGGCGGGGCCTGCCTCCGGGCTGTCCGCTGGGAAGCTTTAGAAACCCGAGGTCCCGTCACACTAGGGAGGGAATTGGGCCTCAGGCCTTCTGGACCGGGTAATCCGGGCGGGAGACTCTCGGGCACGCCCCCAAAGAGCTACGGGCCTAGCGAGCCCTGGTTAGTGCTCCAGGAGGGCTTCATCCAAACTGCTTGGGTTCCTAAAGGTCCCCAGCCCGGCGAAGGAATAAAGTTTTCGTTTCTGGTCGCAGAAAGGAAGAAACCTAGCGGCGGGCGGGCGAAATCAGGGGAATCAGGTGCCCTCTGCCTACCTTGAGCTAGGCGGTGTGTGGACTTTTTCCTGCTTCTGTGCGGGAAAGGAGGCACTCCCAGTCCTTAGAGGGCAAAGTCAGTTTAAGGCCCTGTTTGGCGGCTTTGGGAGCCTCCACTGACTTGGTTGAAAATGAAGTCCCACTCTACCTCCTTCCCAGCTAGTCAGAGACTTGTTGCCTAGGAAACCTAAACCTTTCCCACTTACTTCAGCTAGTGTTATAGTCTAGTGCCACTTACTCCAGTTCTCGGCAGGCTTAGCTTCAGCCTGGGTGGCCCCCTACTCCAGCTCTGCAGGGCTGGCATGAGCCTGGGTGGCCCCCTACTCCAGCTCTGCAGGGCTGGCATGAGCCTGGGCGGCCCCCTATTCCAGCTCTCAGCAGGGCTGGCATTCATGGAGTGATGTTCTTTCCTAAACAGATTTGATGGTAAATGGACTTGGAGGGGAGACTTAAATTGCTGTCCGGATCCCCAGCACACATGCATTCACTCACTACCAGTGTGATAAGTAGGGATTTCCCTTATCTAAGCCCCAGTTTTCTTTTCCCCTTCCTCTCTCACAGGGATGTTTTAAGGATCTAATTGGAAGTCACTTTGTAAACTGTGAGTATCCGTGCTGGTGAAAAAAACACTAACGATATTCAAAAGTCAGGACTTATTTTGGACAGCATAGCCCAGTCCTGCTGTAACTGTGGGCTGGGAGATGGGTGATGTTGGCTTCTGATATAGGCATACATGGACATCCTTCCTGCTTTTTGGTGATTCCCCCAGAAACCTTCTGTAGACCAGAACTTCCTCTCCACCAAAAGTTCTGCCATTTTGCCCCCTATCCTTCCCCGATCAAAAATCAATAAAAGAGATGATGGAGAGCACCTGGACCTGGAGTCAGGAGGACCTGAGTTCAAATTCAGACGGGTACCAGGTATATGACCCTGAGCAAGTCATTTAACTCTGATAGCCTCCCTCCCAAAAAAAGGGGGGGAGGGAAGAAATGATGGAAACTGGGAACATGTTCAATATTTGCCAAGCTACGAATTTGGAAACCAGCATTGTGGCTTCTGAGGGCTTCCTATTCCTTCTCTTCAACCTTTCTCCATAGCACAGAGCTCAAAGAGAATCTCTGGGGAGAGGAATGACCTGAAGTCAGCTATTTGTCCACAGAAGCTGTGTTCCTGCCCAAAGGGATTGGGAAACCAAGGGCAAGTCACCATCATGATACTGGTTTCTGTCTCACCTGGGCTACAGCATAGTATGAGCTGTTGGGGAGGGAGGCGGGAGATGGCGGGGGAGGAACTACTAAAGCTTAGAGAGAGGATTAGATACTTCTGGGGAAATAAATGACAGGGCTGAAAATGGGACTGGGAGATCTTGCATTGGGATACACTCCATCTGCACCCCAGTTGTAGAATGTAGACTCCCTCAAGACTTAAGTCAGGTTCTGCTTTGTACAGGAGGCCTATCCTAATCCTCCACCTGCTAGTGTCCCCCTTCCAGCATGATATTTATTATGCATATAGCTTGCATTTATATTTATCTGTGTACCCAGGAGAATGGAAGCTTCTTGATGGCAGGAAATAATTTTTTGTTTGTTTTTTATATCTCCACTGGCAAACAGTAAGTGCTTATATGTTTGTGAATAAATGAGTGAGTGAACAAGTGAATGAATGTTCTAACTAGTGTGACACTTTGTTGTTGTCATTGTTGTTGTTTCAGTTATGTCTGACCCTTCATGACCCCATTTGGGGTTTTCTTGGCAAAGATACTGGAGTGGTTTGCCATTTCCTCCTCCAATTCATTTTACATATGAGGAAACTGAGGCAAACAGGGTGAAGTGACTTGCCCAGGGTCACACAGCTAGTAAGTGTCTGAGGCCAGATTTGAACTCAGGGAGAGGAGTCTTCCTGACTCCAGGCCTGGCACTCTATCCTTCGAGCACCTAGCTGCCTCAGTGTGACATTTATTTGGCCTTTTTTCCCCAGGGCCAGGAGATTATCTTGAAGGACAAACTCTACTTCCTAAACCTTCCTGTTGACTCTGTGACCTTATAAGCCTCAAACCGATTTTGCACCACTATATTAACCATCACTTCTCGCCCCACCCTCTGCCCAGAAATCTCAGAGGATGGAAATCTGTCGTTAGAGCTCAGATTCTCCCCTTTCTGAAGCCCCTCCCAGAAGCTGGTTCAGTGGGCTGGGGCCCAGGACTCAGAGGAAGTAGATTCAATATTGCCCTCCAGTTGGTGTTGGAGCCTGACTGCAACCAGCATCAGTTTCCCTAGGATCAATATTGCAGCGTCAAAGGAAGTCTGGGGAGACAACACATGCACCAGTTTTGTTGGAAGCACCAGGTGGTAATAACACTGTCATGTAGGCGTAGGAGTTTCCCATTTATTATCCATAATTTCATAGATTTAGAGCAAGAAGGTATGTTAGAGATTGTCTGGTCCAACCCACATTTTACAGGTGAGGAAACAGACTTAAAGAGGTTATAAGACACAAGTTAGGGGGTGGGAAAACTGTATCCATATTCCATTTTAGACAGGTGCCTCAGGGCTAAGGCCTGGGCCCCTGAAAGTGAGATCCTTCCCCATCAGACACAGAACGTCAATAGATCAGGGCAGTGGGAATAGCTTTCTTATCTATTATAATCCTCACTCTGTTAGGCAGCTAAGTGGCACTATAGTGGATAGAGTGCTGGGCCTGGAGTCAGGAAGACCTGAGTTCAAATTTGGCCTCAGACTTACCAGCTGTGTGACCCTGGGCAAGTCATTTGACCCTGTTTGCCTCAGTTCCTCATCTGTAAAATGAGCTGGAGAAGGAAATGGCAAACCACTGATGTATTTCTGCCAAGAAAATCTCAATGGTGCAGTGGATAAAGCACTGGCCCTAGAATCAGGAAGACCTGAGTTCAAATCCAGCCTCAGACTCATAATATTTCCTAGCTGTGCGGCTGTGGGCAAGTCACTTAACCCCAATCAACTCATAAAAATAAAAAAAGAAAAAAAGAAAAAGAAAATCCCGAATGGGTCATTGAGAGTCAGATACCACTTAACAACAATAAGGTGGCACAACAGATAGAGAGCATTGAACTTGCAGTCAGGAAGACCTGAGTTCAAATCTAGCCTCAGATACTAGCTGTGTGACACTGGGAAAGTCACTTACCTCTGTCTGCCTCAGTTTTCCCATATGTAAAATGCATCCACCTCCCAGGATTGCTGTGAAGATAAAGTGAGGTGGTATTTGTAAAGTGCTTTAAGTATTAGCTATTATTATTATTATTATTATTATTATTATTATTATTATTATTATTCGGATGACAAGTGGAAAGAAGTCAGACCTCCCTCCACCCCAACTTAACTGCATTTTGGATCCTGAAGCTGATTTCAGAAAGGTTAAGAGATGTGCTTAATGTCTCACAAAGACAAAAATCTGGACTTAAACTCAGGTCCTCCAACTCCAAACCCAGTGCTCTCTTCTAGAATGAACCACGGACAAGTTCAATCATGTAGCGAATGTGGTTTGCACACGGGTTTTGTGCTAGGTACAGCCAGTAATGATTTGGATGTCATCTTAGCCCAAGAAATTCTGGATGACCTCTGGCAGTGACCCTTAAGCCAAATGTTTCTGCCACGGTTAAGTACTTGCTACATTCATAAGTAAGTGCCCTGATCTCCAAGTCAAGAAAGTCCTGGGTTCTAGTTCTTCTACTAGAGTGACCTGGGACCAGTCACTGAACGAGTTTCTGGGTCTGCTTAAAGGGGGGGTGGGGGTGGCCTAGACAACCCCCAGGTCATGCCCCATCTCTACATCCGCAATTCCAAGGGTGGTCGATCTCCGAGCTAGGAGGGCTTGGCGATCCCACAATCCTCCGCTCGTTTTCCACCAGGGAGGACTTCGGTGCCAAGCCCGCAAAGAGATGGTGCTCGGCGGCCACACGGACGGGCGGCAGGAAGGGGTTTTTAACCAAATCCCACCCTGGGAAGCTCAGCCCCTACCAGCCCCGCGGGCCCCTCCTCCTTCCGGGGCGTTTTCGTTGCAGTGTCAGAGGCCGAATCCTTGACTGTAGACGATGGCCCTTTAAGGTCAAAGCTTCCTTGGGTTCTCGGGCCCGTCCGCCTAGAGCTTGCAGCCCATGCGCAGTCAAGATGGCTGTGGCCGTGGCTGCCGTCCGGGCGGGCTGGCGCTATGCGAGGCCGGTGGGCTGGAAGCTGGGCTGCTGCCCGGGCCAGAGCCGGGCCGGGCTCTCCGGAGCAGCGGGGCGGTGGCCTGGGGCGGCGCCCAAGGGGGCCCCGAGATTGCTGGGGGTGGCGGCTCTGGCCCTCGGGGGTGCCTTGGGGATCGGCCACACGGTGCGGGGCCGTCTGAAATCCCAGGAACAGCTGGCCAAGCAGGCGCCCCCCGAGGTGAGAGAGCGGGGCGGGGGAAAGGAGGCGGGGCCCCCAGGTGAGAGAGCGAGCGGGGGAAAGGAGGCGGGGCCCCCAGGTGAGAGAGCAAGCGGGGGGAGGCGGGGCCCCCAGGTGAGCTGGCAGCAGGTGGGGTACCCTATTCTCGGCGCGAAGCCCTGAGCACCTCACTTCGGGGTCAGAGCTGGCCACTAGCCTCTCTCCATCCTCCACCTGTCCCCTTGGGAGCACCATCGGGTGTAGGTGGGGAGGCTCTTCTAGGGTAAAGCCCCAGCCGTGTCCCCAGGTTCGCTCTGTGTTTTGCAGAGGCACCAGCTCTGGGGTCGGGACACCTGAGTCCTGTCACCACCTCGATGTGTGAGTGACCTTGGGTGAGTCACATCCACTCTCTTGACGAAGGTTTCCCATCGGTAAAACTAGGGGGTTGGACTTGATGATCTCCAGTTCTTTCAGGTCTTAAGATGCCCAGAGATGGAGGGGACCCCCAGAACCTCCTCAGGGAAGAGCCAACCTGAACGA